TATAACACTTCAATTTTTTGAGTTTTTCTAAAGTGCATTAAACCCTACTTCCTCCTCACCACATGACGGAAGCGGTCGGGTGGGTTGGCTATGGTTGAACGGCAATAGCCTAAATGAGCGGCGATCTAATTCACGTCACCAAGGATGAGGATCTAGCATCCAGGACGAGCACAACAGCAACTAATAAATATATATCAAACTTTTGAACAAATTTAGGGTGTCAGTCAGGCTTTTACCCCGTGCGGTTCACCAATGTAGTTCTACTGATGAGATATTGGGTTACTGGATGGAGGACACCCAGTGGTATGACTTGGTGCGCTGAACCACTTCTTTGCTGTACCGAGTGGGTAGCTCGAACGTCGATTTTGGAAAGCCAAGAGTTCAGCAGCTCCGGACAGAGCTAACCATTTTGATCCGTTTCAATGTGTTGGCTGCTTTCGACAGTGTGCAATACGAACCATCTGAAGCCTCCTCACCGGTTCCAACCACTACACAGGAGAGTCTCGTGGGGCTCATGTGTGAGGAATGTGAAAATTGCTGCAAATCGAAAGGTGGCTTCATAGCCTACCGTCGAGTTCACGTTGATGAAAGTTTTGGCACAAACGAACTCGGCCAACTGGCCTAAGCTGATTGCTCCTACGTTTTTTGGATGAAGACTGACCTGAGTCAGTACCACCGACACACTCCACCCGGTATAGTGGCTGAGTGAAGAATTCCGGTGCCTGCTGGTCCCAACGAGGGTCACAATCAATCTTGCGCCTGACCAACAATTCATATCTGTCTTGTGACACGCAAACCACGCTATTCGCGAGATTGAAACAATATTCTTCTGATTGGTTGGCCATCAGCATCGTCTGGTTTAAACAGACTGTAGATTGCCATGCTGACAGTTCAGTCGCTGGTGTTAACCTTATGGCATTTGTCCGAGGGCTGCAGTCTGACATTGTGACACCGGAACAAGTCCTGACACTTCTGGGCATCCACGTCTCCAAGACATTTCCACAAACGTGGAATCCTGTTTTCCGACACCATCGTCATCTAGCCTAACATGTGCCGGCCTAATGAAAGCAGACACGCCGATCCATCTAGACCGCCATCCAGAACCTATAAAACCAAAGACACACAGATGCATTGTCTGCTGTGCTCGATTGTTCGCGGAAAGATCTATACAAATGTGACTCTGGACCCTGAACATTATTGGAAACAAGCAATCTCTACTTTTAAACGCTTGGATGGCTGACCAACTCGCTTAGAGTTTGGGTAAGTCAATTACAGGTTAGGAAGCTGACATTACAATTCGTTTATTAAATTTTTTCCCGAGTCCAGGACAAGCCCTCGCACAGTATACTCCGCCGGTTGAATACCAAATCCTTCGCTGGGTATTTCAACTTAATATTACTACCTGGGGGTTGTCCGCCGCATCTGTGTCGTGCTCGTATTACCACAGTTACGAAGGTTCCAAATCCGACTTCACCGGACCAATTGAGACTTATCTCGGTGTCATCCATTCTTGTTCGATGCATTCATAGGGTGTTTTCTGATCGCAGGAACTTTAGATGGCAATTGTCCTCACTCCGCTTTGCATTTCTACATCAAGACGGTTCTGTGGAAGCCACGTCTCCGTTACACGCTTTGATTCGTCACTCTTCAGCGACTGCTTCCCACCTGCTTTTGGCGTCAGTCGATATCTAGAAAGCTGTTGATTCGGCTTCACGTGACGCAATCGTCAGATCTGCCGAGGCTTTTTGAGCATTGTAACTCCTATTTAGATACATCGCATAGCCATATGAGAACGCTGTAACATTTATTTCAACTTCGAGGTTAACTGCCACAGATATGTGACGCAGAGTGATCCACTAGATGGAGGTCTTGGATACCAGCTCAACGACGCCTTAATGGATGGTTTAGCCTTTACCGACGACTGAGCCGTGTTTCCAGGCAGTCAGATTCACCTTGAAGAGAAGTTTGAAGCTGCTGAATATGAGTTGGGAAGAGCTGGTAGGACGGTCAGCGCCTGAAAGACGGGGCTAATAGTGATTTGTGGAGACAAAAAAATCAGACAACGTTGATCTCAGTTGAACTAAACAGATACAGTGAAATATTTATGTGCCCCTTCTTATTTCAAGGGGAGAAGTGTCTGCACCCACCGACACCAACTGCTCAAACTGGTTGATGAGGTGATGCCTGCATCAAAGATTAGGGATCACAAGAAACTACCTGACACGGAGCCTGAGGTATTCAGTCGCGTTTGGCCAAGTCCACCGAAACAAGATCAACATGTCAGATAATTACATCAGACGATGTATTCCTGGCTGACTACGTCTACCAAAGGACGCACCGCTCAGCTAAATTTACGCCAGTAAACAATATTGAGGACTTGGTATTCGACGCCAGAGTTTAGCCAAACCGATGAAGCGGAGAGCGCGTATCGAAAAGCTTGTCTACCTAGTGACGAGTACTACACAATCGAGTCCAATAACGCGTTTCGCAAGGTTTTTTGAGGTCTCAGCTTTCCGATTCGAGTCCAGGGTGCATGCTTAGACAAGAAGAAAGGGCTGTAGGCTGCTCGGGACGATAGTCTGCACAAGAACTTTACCGATAGCTGTTTATGAGGGCTGGTCGCTCAGTCTCTCTCTATTCAGTGGCTCGTGTTTCCAGAACGTATGCTTCATTGGATATTTATCAGCGTTATCCAGCTCCGGTAGAGCCTGATGAGAGTTAGAGCACTCGGCGTGTTCTTGGTGGACAGACGATCCTCTGTCGTGGAAACTGTGGCAAACCTGAGAGTTTGGTGTATATTATTCAGTACTGTCGAACTGTGCATGATGGTCGTTGTGCTCGTCCTAATCGAGTTGCAAGGGAACTCGCGAAACACCTGTCGTCCGAGGTACGCCGTCTTTGAGGAGTTGACTGTACATAGGCCAACGCCTTTCATCAAGTCTGACACAGTCGTTGTTCAAGAATGCAGGAAAACTGTGACGGTCGTGAGGATAGTGTCGGATGGGCGCGGGTGGCTTGTGGGGAATGGGAGAAACAGATGCCGTGAACCTGCAATAGACGTCAGTATAGTCTCGGATGGGCGCGGAGTGACTGTGGGGAATGGGAAGAAACAGATATGTCGTGCTGATGATTGCTCCTCATCTCAGCCCTACATGTTATCGATTTTGATGTTCGTTTTTCGGTTCAAGAACCGAAGGCCGTTTCTTATTGAGGGGTCCGCTTCCTCCAGTGTGCCAAAGCTGTTGTTGGACTGCTGGTTCCTAAGAGCCCAGTCGGTGACTTGTGTTTGCTTGAACATTTGGGTTGTCTACTCACTTACAACACTTTGAGTGTTCATTCTTGACATGAGCTTCCACAAATGACCCAGCATGATTTGCAAATCCCGACTGTGTCAGCGCTCATCGCGCCTCAAAGAGAATTTAACATTATTAGTCCTTTCTTCAACCGCTGATCTCTACACGCGTGTTTCCATACTAAACATTCTCGCATAGTTTGGGATTCATCTTATTCTGAGTGGGAACTGTTGGTGGCACGCCTTCGAATGGGACGCCTCACTCTTTTTATTCTCCTGTAGCCAATCCGTATCCATCGCTTGTAGTCACTTTCAGTGTTGGTGACCAGGCTCTTCAAAAATACATAATAGTGGAGTAAAATGTGAATGTGTGAATTTTAAAGTGGAACAGTATACAACAAGCCGCAGTTTCAGTTACCTTGTGTTGAGGATGGAATACGGGCGAAATGCAGCGTTATTTGTGTCCCCCATGCTATCTTTTGATTCGTGTGATCATGTGATCTCTCCGAGTGAAAAGGCGAAGTAAGTGGTGCCGTGTTTGTAGAGCAGAAAACCAATAAGGAAAGTTCTCAGAACGTGCTCAAATGACCTCTCAAAAAAGCAGAGAACCCACACAAGAAGTCCGGGGAATACATCAGGGGAGGAAGACAATATTGAGTTATGAACTCTATGGACGTTTGTTTGTTTAACTGGAAACAGCCTCAATCTGAGGAAACGGGTAGTCCTCTAATTTTCGTGATGATCATGCGAGAATGCGGAGGAGTTTGTTGGAGCCCGGTTGTAATATAACCCATGAAACCGATCCCAGAAACACAGGCATACAATAAACAGAAGCATCAACAACTGGTATACAGCTAGCACAGATGGAAAATACGAGAAGAGACAACACCGATTCTTTAGGCGTATCAGCATCAGTAGAGAAGAGAGTGGATTTTCAGAAACTCTGAAGGGTGAGTTGCGTCTAGTCGTTAAAATATTTCTAGGAAGACCTATGCGGATTCTACTCACATCCACCCCCCGCCGGTAGCCATGGCAATACTCCTTTGTCGATGTTGTCAAGCTTACTTGTATAACAGTCGTACAGTCTTGTCATTTCTGTCAACTTCGAAAACGCAACAGCATCCAGCGTGGAGCTCGACCGCCGGCAGTCAGACTCGTATGAGTCTTCAATGGTCAGGATAGTGTTAATCCCATTTGAAAGTCCCATTTTGTATAAATGGGATGTTGAAAGTCGAATCTTTGTGTCTGTTTGTTGCGGCAAGCAATAAAGCAGGACTAATCATTTAGCGTTCTTCATCCCAACTAATCCAACTTTGGTTGTTGAAATTCTCTCATCAATGAACATTCTGATCAACTAACACGCAGATCACGTTGCCAATCATTCAACTACTGTGGAAATCATAAGGGCGTTTTCATCTATCAGCGACGGTTCACTGAACAAAAGTCATATGCAGTTCTGCGTGAGAGTCATGTCTTTTTTTGGAGTACTCATACTGGTCCGGGCTAGCTGTACCTGTTCTCTTCGTGTAAGCCATCTGAGACCCCTATCTTGTTGAGAGATCTGGGTGACTGCATACTCCCACAACACATTACCGACGATTTGAATCCGCTAATTTTACTTTTTGGACTCAAATCTACAATGACAGCGTCACTGTTTACGCTTATTCAAAGGATCCCAAAAGACCCTATGCACGGACTACTGTTTCAGGTTCTCGTGCCTACCAAGTGAGCATGCGATTGGTGCAGTTGGGCCAACCAATGGAATGGGACCCTGCGTTTAGTGATTCGTCAAGCACAATATATCAGCAAACGGTCTCACACATACTTCGTCTAGTAAGTCTAATCATTTTTGAAAACTGTCCAAATGACTTTTAGAACCTGCAGTAATATCAGTTTAATATTGTCTAAACATGGGTCAGGTAGATGCCTTCACAGTTTGCACGACAGTTAGCTGCTAAACGGGGAAAATGAAGCAATTTCTCGTTCTCACTGACGGACAGCACAATACTCGAAATCTGTAAGTGCTGATTTCATTGGAGCGGTTTGTGAGAGCATGTCTTGTCCTAACCGAAGACCAAATCTGGTACTGAAATACTCAGAGTACATTTGAGTGTAAAAACCGAACCCCATATATTTGTATAAATTGAGCACTTTGAAGAATAGTTCAGCTAATTTGAAGGCAACTCCATCAGTGAACATTATCACCAACTTTGTCGACGGCGTAATATCAATACAATATTGTTCAATACTGATACTGACCCGCCGAAGGAACATAATTTTTGAGGGTTTATGAAGAAGGAAAGAACGCCGAGAACGGACCCACTGTCGGGCACCCAATCAGGCAATCTGGATAGAAACTGACATTGATTAGCAGATATGTCTGGCAGCATATCCAGTTAGGCAGACTGAGGTTATGCGGAACCCAACGCGCAGATCGACGCCTGATCAGCTGCATAGAATCCGGTGCAGATGTCACCAAATCGCCGACGCCAGTACTCGTCAAGCAATATTTTCTTATATTCTTTGTAGATACCACAGCTATTTTAAGAGGTTACTTATTATGGTTTTTGTCTGACTTTCTCCAAATCTACAGCCTTGATCATGGTGACTTAACTGTGTGAAGAATCCTTCGCGTTTGAGATCAGCATTGCTTAACACTTTCAACTTGCGGTTGTGTGTAGATAGGGGGTTCTCCCTTGTGTTATTCTGCTCGGACCCTGTATCAGCTTTCTAATTCTTACCATGCTTAAGGATATTGGGTTTTATTTTATTCTGGATGTGTTCTTTATCAACTTTGTAGACACCTCGGATTACGGGGTTACTTGTAAATGGAATGTAACTCGTGTCGTAGAACTCAGTGACATTCTGAATTGCTGAGACTGTGAGGAATGTAACGAGTGAAAGAAAGTCGCAAGACAAAAGGGCAGTACCATGGTTTAAATGAACACCCAGGGGCGAAATCAGCAAGGAACCTGCGAAATCCTCTCCGAAAACAATCACAGAAATTAGCGAAATACACTCATTTAGAAACTAATTCGGTTTTTCGAGAGACTCACCTGGAACCCAGCTGAATTTCTTGTTTTAGATGTTTCCAAATTAAATTGCAAATGAGTGTATATTCGCTAATTTCGTGCAATTTGGCTTTGAATAGAACATAAGGTTGACGGAAAACCGGGGACTGCGCCTTCCTGAAAAGCCCCAAGAAGGGCGAAACCGGTCGTGGTCTGTCGATGGATTTTCAGCAACCTTATGAGTAGTGCATTACAAATCACAGAAATCGACTTCTCCAATGGCAAGAGATGGTCTGAGTTATGTTTGCTTCTAGAATGTCACATAATGGCATTCAGTTATTATTTCGGACGTTCAGTTTGGAGTGTTCTAGTACACAGCCACTTTTATATTTTGCCATTTTTCGTCCTTAACTGTAGAATGTAATAGAAGACTGCTTCACGATGACTGTGAAATCACCGAGGTTTTTGGTCCATTTTCAGACAAATTTCGACTTCCGACCTTTAACCATTTATTGATCGTTTTACGCTATGATATGTTTCAAGTGACTGCAGCTACTGGGATTGACACCTAAGAAACTAGCCATTAGAACCCCAGAGTTTCGGTTTTCATAAATTACTTTCTATACCGTCTTGAGCTTTAATCCGTCATGAATAAACATATTTTGTCGCTGCTAAGAAATATTAAGCTAAAGGTTCATCACCCCAGTTCCTTTCTTTCTGTCAGCCAATGAGCAGTGACCCATGGGTTTAGAAAACGAAGCTAGAAGCTGCATAGATCGTATATCGGTAGTTTGCGTGGACCGTTTGTCACATTCTCACTCTGATTTAACCTTGCTGAGTAACACCGGGTTAAAGCACAAAAGTGTGAGTTTGCGAAGGATGTTTAATTTATGGGAAGGCTGAGAGAACGAAGTACATTATATTGCAGGTGCGCCTCACTGAATGTTGGCCGACTGGACAGTGGGTTATATATGATTTCACAGTGGGCCAGAGGTCCAGCAGAACCGTAAATTCTTTCATCGTCTTCTACGCAATGATTATCCAGCTGTAGCATCAGAGGGGCCGATTGACCCCAATAGCAGAAGTTTTCTAACATGGACCCCTATTTTCTTGGGTGTGAACCTTTTTAGGAGGCAAGCAAAGTTAGGTAACGCTAAAAATACTGGGAAAAGAGTTTGTTAGTTTTTATAGCCGTAAGAGAACGTCACCAAAAAATTCCAAGTAATCCGCAAAAAAGTTTAGCCTCACAGGAAATTTTCACTCCCATGAACTAATCTGTGGATGAATCACACAGATCGTGGCTTTTATATATCGACAAGCTCATTGTCAATTGCATCAAGGTAAAAAACGAATGGCTATTACAGTACAATAATTCTTATCAAAATGGTAAGTGAGAAAAATGTGTCTGAGCGTCTGATTAAGCCATCATCAAACTTTCTAGCCGCAGTAAAATGAACTGAACAGTATTTCGAGATATCGAAGTATATTTTCATAAAGGAAACTACTCACAAGGCTGCTGAAAACTCTTTGACAGCCCACGACCGGTTTCGCCCTTCTTGGGGCTCATCAGGTAGGCGCAGTCCCCGAGTTTCCGTCAACCTTATGATCTACTTGAACCCAAATTGCACTGTTTTCGAGAACATCATAAACGAGAGATTCAGTTGAGTCTCCCGTGAAAACCAAATTGATTTGCAGATGAGTGTATTTCTCGAGAACTGAACAGTAGTTTTTAAAGTGCACTAAAAGTCTATCTAGTTCAGCTTCGCTAAATTTTTTCCACTGTTAGTTGGTGTGAAAGTCCGATATTTTTAGCAATTTCGAGCCACAGCCTACCGAACCACACATCCGGCGACAAAAGTGGATCAAACTTGCTTCAAAGAATGCTCTGGACATCTCATTATCAATTTCCCTCCTTTCGAAGCTCATCAGATGGTTTGTTCCCTGGGTACTTACTAAATCTCCTTCTTACTTGAACACCAAATTGGACCTATCTTACAACACAATCAACTGCAGAATATCACAAACAAAAGGCTCAGTTGAATAGGAAGGTTTCAAATGAAAGTTAGCTTTGGAATGCGTACAATTAGTCGTTTAAATACGAAGTACGACCGCTGAAACCTAGGGGATCACGCCCACCTAATAAGCTGCAAGCTAGTGAAACCGGTAATTGTTTAACGATTAGTGTTCAGAAAACGTATAAATATCGTTATATGAGGAAGAAATTTCCCATCATATTGCTCAAGCCTTAAAACTAAGAAGCTCTTTTGTACAATACAATCTGTGAGAGAATGCTGTAAGGGAGAATACATTTGGCGTCATCTAAATTAACTTACTTAGTTTTGTGTTTATTGAGACAAGCCTTTAACTAGTTGAAACACGGGCGAAAGAGCAAACTAAAAGAATTCCGGATCCTCCTTGAAGACTTGTACAGCTATCAGAATTGAGTAACGAAAAGCTTTGCAACGGTCCACTTGAGGAAGTACGGATTCCGCCAGCTTAATGAACTTTTTTCACGACATTTGTCGAAACTCTTTTCGAGGTTGTGTATTCAGTGAATATCTTTTACTCTATATAAAGCGATCAACCTTGCTGCTGGTTGTGCCTAGTTAGGAAAATGTGTCTCCTTGTGCAAAGTGATTTGAACCTGGTTCATCGACGAAAGATAACATTATTGGACGTGTAGCTAAAGTGACCACCACTTAGAAGAAACCTTTGCTGGCTAGTCCGCCCAAGAGATATCACATACCACGGCGACAGTAACGGAAGACAACAGTGTGTAGTAGATGGTCGTTGGTTTGTTCGCTGAGCTGGGCATTTTGATTGCAAACGTTTCATCACCAATCGAGGTGACATCATCAGTGCGTTATTGAGGAGCGTAGTGGTGCGTAGCGGTGAGTTGGTGGTTGTGCGTGGTTGTGTGTAGTAAGAATCCACTACTTTAAATCAATAACATCAAATGGAAAGTTGCACACCAAGTCGTCTCTAATCGGACGCGGAATACTGTGAAATTTGTTTGCACATCAGAGTTTTCTAAACAGTGTTCATCCTATCCTTGTGCAATCACCCTCGTTCATCCAAGCAAAATGGAGAAGACACTTGATTCGAGCTGATTTCCTAGTCTAGCATGTCGGCAGCGGTTTCGCAGATTCGAACCCCAACTGAACAGGAAGGTTACCACTACTCCAGCAGCGTATGTTGAAAGCTTCTAAAGTGACGTTTTGAAGCAGGTTTGTGATTTTCTATTTAGACCACAAGATTGGCTTCAACCGACGCTCGAATCAATGACCTCTTAGATGTTTATTCAGACGACCGATCCGCCTGCCGGTATTTCGAATTCAAGTAGCACCACGGGCACCTGAGAATCTTCAGACAAATTTCGAGCAGTTGCGGGATTTGCAAAGTTGGTATTCACATCATCCTTTCGTCCTTGAATGAATAAATTGATCAGTGTCAATGTCAGAGCACTTAGTGACCAGGAAAGTGTAGTGACCACGATTTGAATGATTATGAGCTTATTCTGAGTTTTCAAGTCACAATGATGGTGTAATATACAGGACTAAAAAGAAACCCTTTTTGTCTTGAGCATTTAAAACTCAGAAGTGGAGAGTTTGATTTATCTGTTGTTGATCAGACGACCAACCAATACTTAGCTGTAATTCCAGTGCTTTTTATTGGCTGTGAAGCAACTCAAACTTTGCAAACAAAAGGAGTCACAGAAATCATAAAATACTTGGATGTTCCGTATTCTCTAGCTGATTGTACTTTCATGCACGAGGTCTGAAATTGATTTAGGCCAAAAATGCCTAATGAATGAACTGATTA